CTTCTGAAAATGAAATTTGTGCACACATATACTACATGATGAACGCTGTCAGTATTTTTGTAAAGAACTGCTGTAATGTTGTTTTCATTACCAATATTGTCTTTTTTAGGTGCTCGGCCGAGGTTTTCAATTACTGACCGAGATAAGGCAAGAAGAAGAAGCTGCGAATAGGCAGTTAGATGAAGTGGTCAGCCGATGTAATCATGCCAACGTCGTTTGGATACGGTTCGCTCGCTTTATAAATTTAGACAGTGATCGAAAATTTCTTTTTTTGTTTTGATAGCCTTTTTTGGCGTTGGTTCATTTAAGAGGGAGAAGCCTTTTTTCTGTCTTAGGAATGCTGGAATATGGGCAGAGGTCGGGTCCGGAATGTACCCCGAACCCGCATCCCCGCTTACAGGTGGTCGTGTTATCCATTACGCTACGGGGCCGCTCTTACCCTCTCAGCTCAGTGGCATTTCGTGCCATAACTGTCAAAGCACGCATTGCTGCGTTAAACAGCAGTTATCTAACCAAAACAACCTTTTTCAGTTGTTTTTCAAGTATCGGGCTTTCTTGCAGCCTTGAAAAGTAATGTAAGAATTTGAGTCCGCCTCCTTGTAACAAAAAAGTGTTTCTCCTGAGGTTATGCTGCCTGAGAATGAGTAATATGAGCTAAGAGTGCCGTTGCACGGAAGAAGTTAACTCACCTCAAAGGTTCTCCGCTTTCAAGATGACGGAAAAGTTTCATTCTCTCTCCTTTTCACCAACCTGAATGCAGCCCAAAAAACGAAGAAATCTCCTGGAACTCCACCATTTCGCAGTTTGTCAAAAACCTAGGGCTCTGAAAAAACTGGCTCGTCCCGTTGCTGAGAGTTACAAGAGCTCTCTCCCACCTCTCAGCCGACTTGACCACCTGAACATCTTCGTGTGGACATATTCTAGCCGGGAACTACCCTCACCTAATTTATCTACTGTAGATCATTAGAATGTTGCGGTTGAAGGAAAAGTTCACTAGTTTGTTCGAGGGAAACCTGTAGATTGCAACGGTTTTTGTTACAGTCAGAGAAAGTAACCCAATTGACATATACCATATTGAAGACCGAGTCGGGAACTTGCGTTATCTTGCGGGCAGCCTAATATTCATACTCCCATTTAAAAAAGTAGCAGTCACAGCATCGTTTTTATCGATTCTGTATCGTTTTTTTTCAGGCATGTGAACTAGATGAAAAAGCGCGTGACATCAGTTTGCTGAGGGATCCCGATAGCGCTGATTTCTATAAGTGCCTTTCATATCAACTTTTTCGTCCAGTGTTCGCTCTTTTAGGAGAGAATCAGGTAGGAATAGGTGCTTGGGAATGCTTGTTGATGAGTTTTGATGGGACGGCTACATTGACTGTTTCAGAAAAGCATACCTAACAATTCTGAAAATCTACAACTCAAAGTGGGAAATATCAATACGCAGGAGATTATCAACAAGGTTGACTCTTTCTCCGTCATTGTTTACAGATCTGCTCTACTTTTTTGTCTAGATGTGTAAAGTGACTTTGTTTGCGTTTTCTTTAGCGAGACGACCGAAATGGATTAGTCGTTGGGAGGTCAGAGCAAATTATTTGCCACCAAGATCAACTACAGTTCTCACGATCAAATGATCAGGGAAGTGCCTCCGTGCATTTAATAGCTAGGTTTGCACCGCATAGATTGTACCAATTTCGCCTCTCGAGAAGGTTAGGTAAAGCAGCTGCAGGGGCGTGACCCTTGCACACTTTGTTCTTTCAGTCTGCAAAACAACGACTTGCATGGTGAATTACGTGCATGCATTTTGTTGTGCGCAGCGTCGTGGGACGATTTCATAGTTTTGTCGCAGAGAATCTTAGCGTGCGATTCTTCGCTTACAAGTTGCGCTGCATGCCCAGGATAGTAAGTCAAAGTGTGCAAAAGTCACGCGCCTGTAGCAGCCTTATCTCGCCCTTTCGAGAGGCGAAGTGGCACACCCTATGCGTGTGCAGGCGTAGATATTAAAATCACGGTGGCATTTCGCTGGCCACTAGATCGCGGGAACTATCCTCAAAGAGTCGTAACTATAACTTCGCACATGGGATTCAGAAAGAGAGGAGTCTGAATTGGTGCTCTCTAAGAGCTAAGTCAAAATTTAAATAATTTGGTTTACTTGGTTCACTATTCAGGTTGGATCATGGGGATCAAACATCACCTCTTCGTGCCATGACCTTGGATCGGAAGCTCTAACAAGGACAGTATCAAAACTACGACCAGATGAAGCTTGGGATGCGAAGACACCTCCACCCACAATTGGGTGCGATGCGGTACCTATTATTGTTCGATTTTATATAGCGCGATATCATATTTTTATTAGTCTTGTGCTGAAACCAAAGAATATTGCCTTTTCAAAAGTTTTTTCCTGCTGCTTCATCACGTACATCTGCACGCCAATCTTCTGAAAAGTCGGCTTATATTTGAATTTTTAGGTTCTCGATCTGAGCGTAACTCCTCGTGAAGTGCCTTTATTCTTCTTATCGGCATTCAATAATTTGTGGATGAAATTTATTCTGAATGCATGTAAACCGGATAACTTCACGTTGTTGAAACCTGGCGAGTGTGATCCTGTTCCCCCTTGCTCAGAAACGGTAAATTATTATACTGTGGCTTGCACTTTTTTTAATTTTTTAGATATTATCTTCCACGGTTAACCCTTGCATGGGTTTACCGTTTTAGCGCTGCATATACCTTGCGGAAGCAAACTTTTGTTTTTTGTTTCATTTTTTGATCGATCTGTATACTTTCACACGGTTTTTAGTTCACTTCATGCGCTGCTGCGCGTAAATATTTGTAAAAAAAATGGGGTAATCATTCATTGCACAAATGGGCTATATGTCTGTAACCAGTGTGATGAGTTAGCATTGAGGAGTTTCCCTAGGTGGGTGGAACAGTTTAGTCAGTGAGCTAGCACTTTAAGGTGATCCCGACAAAGGAGGCGAAACTACTTTGAAACGTTATGTCGTTATTGAATAAACGGTCTCACCAAAAAGCCCGTGGGAGACGCAGAAACTCCTATCATAATATTTACCCAGTGCCATTGCACTTAACGCTTGCCCTGACTCAACTGTGTGCATTTTTGGACAAGTCGTCGTTGAGATTCCCAAGCGGGGAGAGGTCCAATTGCTTGCCGGCAGCGTTCTTACTTGCGGCGGCGTCCACCAGCGATCATCAGCGTTTCGAGCGTCCGTAAGTGCCAGCGACTAGGGAAAAATAGATATCGATCTAGCGAACGGCAGCGTGCTGAGAGTGAGGAAGTAGGAGGGAGCAGACAGCTGGACTAGAATTGGAAGTATAGGTATCGATCTAGCGTCTGCCAGCGTTCACCAGCGACCGGGAGTAGAGAGTATGGGGAAGTAGGAGGGTAGCAAACAGCTGGATTAGGCGTCGTGAAATTGCGGCGTGTGCAACCGCACCGCACAACTGCTAAAGCACAGAATTATGCAATTTAATGTACGGTGTTGTGTAGTAGTACGGTGCGGTTGCACACGCCACAATTTCACGACGCCTAATGCAGCTGTCTGCTCCCTCCTACATCCCCATACTCTCCACTATGGATGGAGGTCTTGGAGGACGCTTCACAGAGTATGAACGCCTGATGAAACTTCCATATGATCACACGAACGATATGATACGTCCCGAAACGACACCAGTTCCCTTCTGAGTGGCCGCGTTGCACGGAGCAGTTGAACCATTTCAGTCAGGATATTTTCTGCTACGCCAAAGTAGTCCCGAACAGCTAGGAAGCCTCGATCGGTTAAAAACGCATCGAAGTGTTCATCGGCCTTTGGTGTTGTTTTGACCCCCTTTGCCTTCCGCTCAACGGATAGACGGATATCGTAAGGTGGGGTAGGAGGAGCGAAACAATCCCACTGTAACAATTATTCATAGCTCATCAGAAATACGTTTGCATAGTTCACTTTTCATTATCCACAATGTATCCAAAGTAGTGGTTTTCCATTTTTTCAGTATTCAACGACAGAAGGTTCTCCGCCGGGACACCGTGAAGAACAGTGTCTCCCATCTTCGTCAGAGAAAAACTCATCGACAGTTATTTCACCTCGAGTGAAGCGCTTACCGAATAGGATAGTTGTTCATCGGATTCTTGCTCTGAATTCTCGAGAGTCTGCTTTTCGTAGTGCTAGAGATGTGCTGCTCACATGCGAGGATCTCTTTTGCATTGGCCATCGTCTGTGCTCAAAACGTAGTAAGACGCTGTTTTTTTTTATCATCAAATCTACTTATTCACATCGGATCTACTTAAGATGTCCGGATAAAGCGCTCTCATTTGCTGAGGATGGTCAGTGATGCGTTAGAGAAGATCGATTTGGTACGTTCCTAGGCATCTCAATTTTTCATTCACTGCTTTGTACCCTTTTTTATTTTATCTTCCTCTTTCATAGGACCCAAATTATTCGGCGAGAATCAGTTATGATGAATACCCTACAGATTACTGGGATGTCACAGATATGCGTGATGTTGAGGAAATATTCGATGCTGTAAGCACCTTTTTCCCTTTGTTTTTAAATTTGAAGACAGTTTCCGCGATCAAGTGACCCATGAATTGCCACCATGCACTTGGCATGGTTGATCGCATTCTCAGAGAATGAACCACTCCAGTCGCTCGAAACGGCAAGATAGAGAAGAACTGCGTGATTATTGCAACCATTGTAACCACGATTACTTTCACTCTGCAAGACAACGGCTTACAAGCGGAATTGCGTGTGTACATAGCGTTGCCTGGAGCGTCGTAGGGTGATTTCCTGTGCTCTTGCCGGGAATCGGTTGCACGTCGAATCCTGCTGATTGGGCTTGCCGACGTCCGACAAACTCGTCCAAGGCGCCCACTGCTAAAACGGGTCTCTGTTCAGAGTGTCACAGGGTTTTTTTCGCTTCTTTGTCTACTGAGGAGTTGTGGGCTAGTGGTTCATGATTGAGCACCTACTACCCGTAACACCTGATCGCGGAAATAGTCTGTAAATGGCAGATGTCGAAGTCTAATGCTAGAACAAAGAAGCGCATGCTGCACCTGCGCTTCTTTTTCACTGCATTCAGAGGAGGCAAAGGTTTGACCAAAAGGAGATGCTAACAATTACAACGGAAGATGTTCAGCTCTTGTGCAACGGCGCATTTCCAAGGATGGTCCTATACTAAGCTGATGCCGATGGCTATGGTACTCTATGTCGCAAATTTTCACTTCAATGACTTTAGCAAGTTCGTAGTCATTATTTCATAGTTGAACGTTGTGGGAAACGAGTAATCGTCCAATTACTGCTGTAATTTGAACGTATTTTAGGTACTTCGTAGTACGGTCTGATCTATCAAACTCTAGAAAAAGAAATTCCGAGAGTGATAGCTTGGACTTCAATAATGAAAACGGTTCATCTTTTCCGGCAGCTGTCAAACGAGGGCATAGCTATAATGAGGTTTGCGATTGGAATCCTAAGTACTCTGGTGTTTCGAAGTTTTATGTTGATCCTAACGTGTAATAAAGCATGAGGCACTGAAATTTATGGAAAGTTTTTGAATACAGTTTTGCAAACACATGACTGCTATCGACCGCGCTCCACCGCTAACAGTTGGACTGCTGCAGCGCCTAACTATGCTAGTAAGGCTTAATTCAATCCACTTTCATTTTTTGGCTGCTGCAGATCAACGTTTAGCGGAGGAGCGTTCTCAGTTGCAGTCGCGCATCTGGATAGCTAGCATGTGAGAGAGGCCTAACTCTTCATGTATTTTTTCATACCTGGTACATCTTCGACAAATAAGTCAGAAATTCACAAAGAAACCAATCACTAAAATGGCAGTAATTCTTTGTAAATAGGAACGTAAAGCAGTTCACATGCTTTTTCATATGAAACATGACATAAGAAAGCTGGAGTGGTGCTGCTAGTTGAGCTTGAAACAGCCGATTTAGGCTGTAAAGCTTATACTATATCTAACTAATACATTGAATATGATTGTAGCAGTCGGACGATCATACTGGCCAGTCTCCAACTTCCTTCTCACGTCACAGCACAGCAGCAGACGATAGGGTTTCCTCTGCTAGGAGAGAAAGAGAGAGACTTATTGTTAAGGTTATTTTTCAATACACATTTCTCCCAACTGAATTTAACATGCTCACTCATTCCGCTCAAACCTGCATTTTCAGATTCGGCGTTGTGGTGCCATTCCATCCGTGTCACAGATAGGTTAGTTTCTTTTTATTTTTTTTCATTTCATTTGTAGTTCTTGTTTTCGATATAGATCCCGTTCCGCCATCCCATGACGGGGAAGATTCCATCGCAGAGCCGGATACTGGTAAACGGCCACTTGATAAAGATGGTTCACATGCGTTTTGTTGGACATGCAACGATAATACGGAGAATGCGGAGGAAGTTAAGGTGGGAAACTTTTTACACAGGGATTTTGTTCTTATTTTTGCTAGTATACAGTCTCGTTCGCTGCCGATGAAGGGGCCTGTCAGGTGGGAAGGGTTTTGCGCGGCCATAGCCATTTTCCGCGAGTTGTTGGAGCGAGCACGAGGCAAGACTGTCGTATCGTTCGCATCAGGCGTTTTAGATCAATTGGTAGTGCTTACCTGCTTGAACGACTGGTGGAGAACGAGTCCGGACCCGAGCCACACCCTTCCCGCCTCACACGCCTCTTCATCCGCGATGAACAAGATTGTACGATATTTTTATTTTCAGGGAATGTGCTCCAAGTGCCCGCGAGTGTTCCATGCCAAATGTCACTTACCACCTATTGCAGGATCTTGGGATGACACTCCGTGAGTGTTTCATGTTACTGGTTTATGGAAGTATTTTTTTGAGATTTGTACTATTTCTCTTTAGAGATGATTGGGTGTGTTCCATTTGTGAGCGAATCTGTGACGACGGCTCGCCAGCAAGTAATTTAAAGGTAAGTGGGAACAAAAATCGTTTCCTTACATGCTGCGCGTATGGCGTTACCATCGGCTGTCGGACACGCATGACAAAGTCGTGCGGGAGTTTGAATCATTCTCTTTGGTGAGGCTTCCGCCTACAATTCAACCGCCCACTATTCGAAATAGCCTATTCTGACCGTAGTGTGAAGATACTCTTGCCACGTCGCAGGAGCCAAATTCATACTGTAGCTAACCGATAGTAGTAACACTCCTCCTTGGGCTGCGTTCAAACTTTGCGGCAGCGTCCATCAGCGGCCAATGGCGTCTATTAGCTTTCCGCACGTCCGGCGTCAGCGACTAGAAAGGTATAGCCATGGGTCTAGCGGCCGCCAGCATTCCGGCGTCCGGTAGGGTCAGTGACTAGGGAAGTATACATATCGATCTAGCGTCTACCAGCGTATGTCAACGTCCCCAAGGATAGGGAAGTATAGATATCGATCTAGCGTTTACCAGCGACCAGCTGCGTCAGGAAGTGGAGTGTGGGGAGATAGGGGAGGGGCAGCAGACTGCTGGTAGAAAGTATGGCGCGATGAGAGAGTAACAGACAGTTGGTACCCTCCTATCGATCCATACTCTCTACCATCAGTCTGCGGCTGGAGGCTGGTAAACGCCGATAGACGCTAGATCCATAACTATATTTTCTGAGTCGCTGATGCCACTGGACGCTAGGGTTCGCTGGTGAACGCTGTCACAAGTATGAACGCAGCCTTACTTTTCTGACTTTTGTCACATGAAAACATTTCTATTTAGTTGTGTTACAAAGTGCTGTTATGTTGTTACGAGCATGCTGAATGTGCATCCTGTTTTGCACAGCCGGTTCCTGAGAGCACACCGGGGTACTACAAGGTGAGGAACTGGTGACTTGTTCTTCGTCAGCCTTCTCTGGTCATACTGCTCGATTTCCAGGTAATTCACAATCCTATGGATCTTGGTACGATAGCAGCACAACTCCAAAATAGCAGTTCGTCGAACGCCATGTCGGTTTCCGAGTTTATCGAGAAAATGAACACGGTCTTTCGGAACTGCTCCAAATTTAACCCGGTATGTAATCTTCGCTGTCTTTAATCCCGAGTACTTCTTCGTCTGAGGATCAACAGCTTTTATTGGGCTTTTATGATGTGAATTCTCCGAATGAGTCGCGCTCTTATGAACCGTAGTAGCCTCATTTTTGAAATACAATTTAAGAATTGAAGAACAACAATTAATATTCTTGGAGGACTTGCCCTACATTTCCTCCGATAGTCTATTAGAAATATTGGAAAGAGGAACGTTTATAGTGTTACTAAATTTTTCTAGAGACACTCGCCTGTTGCTGAGGCTGGGCGTAAAGTTTGGCAATCTTACCAATCCGCTGTCAAAAAGTATCTGCCATCTTATACCAAAGATATCTGGCTGTATGTGAGTCTGCATGACCGGAAGGTTTGTTTGATTTTTCTTCCTTCTGATCGGTTTCAGATGAGATCTGAGCAATGGGTCGTTTTCCAGGTCTCGCTTCAAAAACGTCGGAGGAGATCGTCAAGCAAAGGTGACTCTAAAACACCTCGGCTATCATCGTCTTGAACACCTCGGTTATCGTCGTCTTGATGGTACGTTACTATAGTTGTCATATGTCGATACCACTTCCGCGATCTGTGTTACTTGTAGTGGGTGCTTATTCATGAAGCAGTAGCCCGAAATCCCTTCTCCGGTGGGGAAAGAGGCGTAAAAAATAAACCTCACAAACACCTTGAGCCCTCTCTCCCTCCTAGCAGCGGGACCTGCGCCTTGGACGAGTTTTTTGGACGTCGGCAAGCCCAATCAGCAGGATTCGACGTGCAACCAATTCCCGGCAAGAGCACAGGAAATCACCCTACGACGCTCCAGGCAACGCTATGTACACACGCAATCCCGCTTGTAAGCCGTTGTCTTGCAGAGTGAAAGTAATCGTGGTTGCAATGGTTGCAATAATCACGCGTCTCTAGCTTCTTTATCTCGCCGTTTCAAGTGACGAAAGTGGTATATTTTCTGCAAATGCGGATAACGATGCCCAATCACGGGGCACTTGATCGCGGAAACTGTCTTTGAGTACTCCGAAGATTTTCGCGTTTTTGCTGCTTGAGCCAATGTTTTTTTTGAGTGGAGGGGCTCTTGGATAAACAATAAGATAGCTGCTGAACAAATAATGAAGCGTTGGGGATCGAATGCGAGCGGCGGGGCGCGACGTTTAAACTGGTCGCGTTGCGCTGCTTTTACATGCGATACGGACTGGTGAGGAGAAATCACCACGCCATCACGTGCGCCGTGGTTCAGTTTATGCGCGTAATCGGAAATCAGAGTTCCTGACCCGCACTCGGGAAAGGGCAGGAATATCGAACATGAACTCGCTGCAGCTAACGTTGATTCCCAATCGCTTGGCGCTGCCATTCGTCACCGCTATTTGTCTCCTCTACGTAAATACTACTTATTTCATTTGCAATGGGGCTAAGCCTATAGAAGTCTTGTTCCAGAATTGCCAGCGGAGTTCTTTATGCTGTCAGCTCATCAAGGAGCAACCCAAAGAAATAGTGTCTCATGAGATCCAGCACGCCCTTCACATCAGTTTTTGAAATGGGATTGTTACAGTATTACCTCAGCTTTCACTGAAAACGACGGTACCAACTTCAGTGCAATATATTGTCAAAGCGGAAATTTTTGCGAGATAGACCAAGTGATGTTTGTTTAATTGTATCCCTGATCTCTAGCTGTACAATTCATAATTGTTCTGTTTATCTGTCCCTTGTTCTGAAAGTCCTGTTTTCGTAAGTAAGATGTTCCTTAGATGTTGAAATGGAAGGGCAAAAAAGGATTCACAAGTGGGACTGTCATAGTTGTGCTGCAAAAGTTCTAAACTTATTGAATGTTGTGTGCATCGATTTCAATGCAGCTTTTTCTACAATGGTTTTCCTGGGCAATGTGCGTGCGTGGTCATAGTTTCTGTTGAAAATGTGATAGAATTCAGTGCTGTTATATTTTTTATGAGTTGGAGTTAGTGGTTCCCTCGTTTCTATTTTACCCTTTTTTCCATCTTCTCTTTTCTAACCCTAATTTTGTTTCGATGAAATATCACTCTTTTGATCTTGAAACGCTAAGCAGCGAAATACTCGTATTCGCGCAGCGAACGCATCAATCGGGGCGGCGTGCCTAGGCATGCAAGGGGAGGGCCTTCATGAGGAACATAGCAGTTCAGTTTATCGCAGTTTTTCTTGGTTAATCAGCCCTCTACTCAGCTGAAAGGTATGCGACCGAACCCGTTTTGACACTCGCACTCAATTCCTTTTTGTGGTGCTCAGTTCTGTCTAGATTCTCAATTGACACATTTTTACGTTTAATAATTTTTTTTGTGAATAATTATTCTTTTCCAGAAGCAGTACTATTTCATTGTTATCATCGATTTCACTTGAAACGCTATAAGCTTTTGCATTTGGCTTGGTCTTGGTTCAAAGTTGTTGAAAATAATCTACGGGTAATCTTCTATTCTGGATATTTCTTCAAATAATTGCCAAACGTTATGCATCGTGTCCATGTATATTGTTGTTTCAAAAAGTAATTTTTTTTCTTGTCGTGCGCTTGGCATTGTTCTTGCATTGATTGTAATTTAATTTCATTTAATGACCTGTAAACGGAACCTGATACTATGACAGATTCGGAAGTGGTAGTGGAATAAGGGGACAGGTCTCTGACGTTTCACCTTTTATTACGGTTTTTACCTTTATCCCATCCTTTAATAAATTATCGTCAAGTTTTTCTTCTATTCTTGACTTCTCTATTGGTCATGCTAAAAAGATTCGCATTCAGAAAAAGCAGCAGAACAGGTGGCATTATTATCACTCCCTCGTCCGAGCGCAGGCGAGCAGAGTTTGAATGCATTCACACTGCGGCAGCTTACACCAGCAACCACTAGCGTTCCGAAGTCCGGCAGCGTCAGCACTACGGAGCTGTAGATATCGATCGGGCGTGTGCCAGCGTTTACCGGCGTCTGCCAGCGTTCAGCAGCCTTTTGAGAGCTAGGGAAGTACAAGTATCGATCTAGCGTTTGCTAGAGTCTAACAGCGATCGAGAAGAGAGAGTATGGAGAAGTAGGAGGGTAGCAGGCAATTGCATTGGGTGTCTTGAAACAGGTAGCTGGCACCTGGCAGCGAGACAGCTTTAATGAGGTGCGAAAACTTGGTGCCTAGCTGCGAAGTGACCTCATTAAGGAGAGAGGGCTTACAATTGAGGTTATTGAGGTCGTGGCGCGCATTTAAAATAATTTCTGCACGACGTAGGGGTCCATAAAAGAATCACAAACTCGGTTCAATTTTTGCTCCGCATTTCTGGGAATGCCAAAAAGTGAGTGAAAAGTTTGCTGAAGAGAAGCCGTTTCGAGCCGAGCTCTTTTCTTCCTCTTTCTTCCTCTTCTGCTGAGCTCTTTTCTAACTGTAATGTTGAATATACACAGTTGAGGAGAAGTTTGTCAACCATGCATCGAGATGTGTTGTTCAAAATTCAAGGTGGAAAAAGTCTTACCTATTCCGAAGGTTTACTGAAGAGAAGCCGTTTCGAGCCGAGCTCTTTTCTTCCTCTTTCTTCCTCTTCTGCTGAGCTCTTTTCTAACTGTAATGTTGAATATACACAGTTGAGGAGAAGTTTGTCAACCATGCATCGAGATGTGTTGTTCAAAATTCAAGGTGGAAAAAGTCTTACCTATTCCGAAGGTATTCAGAATCATGTTGGCAACAAATAGCTTCGGCGCCGTTTATAAATGTCAGAACCGTGATCATGGCGCTCGTATACACGTGCTCTGGGACCAACATGGTTTCCTCTAAAGTCGTGCCGAATTTGAGAAGGGAAATTTGCGAAGGTTGGGTTAGCCGGTGAGCTATACGAGATGCGGGTCAGGGTGCTACTGCCAATCCAGTGGCCGGTCTACTACCACCATAAACCTTTCCTTAGGAGGGTAATTGATGGCCCCAATCACGAATCTATCACTTATTTTTTTCTGCCGAGGCCACATCGCGCCAGCTTGGCGCCGAACAGCTTATGCGTGAGGTTGACAACGACTTCAGTACAAAAAATCGGCACTATTGAACTATTCCTACCCCAAAAACTCAAAAAAATTTTTTTCGCTGAAACGTTGCCTATAGTGTAGTTCGATGCCCTGATCACGAATATCACATTCGTTTCGAGCGTCATTTGGCGCCATTATGCGCCAATTTGGCGCCCACCACTTTTTTCACCAAAGTTGATGAAAACTTGCATATGGGGGTTAATGGCGTTGGCACCATTCGGCGCCATTACGCGCCAATTTGGCGCCATATTGGCGCATAATGGCGCCAAATGACGCCAGCGCTCGAAACGGATGTATATTTGTGATCAGCGCATCGAACTACATCTATAGGCAACGTTTCAGCGAAAAAATTTTTTTTGAGTTTTTGGGGTAGGAATAGTTCAATAGTGCTAAAAAATCTCCTGCACCAAATCAGCGATGAGTTGCGTCATGGTCAGATGTGAGTGCCGTGCTCGTGAACAGGGCATCGAGTGAACCCGTAGCCCAACTTTCAGCAAGAGTTTCCTCAATAGTGTATCAAGAGCGCAATAGTTAATTGGGACCGGTTCGTTATCTAATTGTGTAGGTAAGAGTATCCTTATACATATTTCATTGACCTCTCTCGTCATTTTATTGATCATCTATCACTTATTATGTCAACATGTGGATAACAAGATGACCTGTCAGCCCTCGCTCGTTAATGAGGTCACTTCGCAGCTAGGCACCAAGTTTTCGCACCTCATTAAAGTTGCCTCTCTGCCAGGGTGCCAGCTACCTCTAAATTAGGCTGGTCGTACCAATGATCCGTCACCCGAAATTGCGGCGTGCGCAACCGCACCGCACAACTGCTAAAGCGCACAATTACATAAGAAAACCATTACGAGCGCGCACCAACAGTAACCATACGTATGAGCAATGTCACACGCGACTCCGCGTGGTACTGCCGTCACATACCAATCCATAGTCCTGTTACGCAACCGTGTCATATAGACAGCGGCTGCCAAACATCGAAATGCAGAAGAAACATGTGACGAGCCGTGGTATGGCTCTAGGGAAGGGAATCCGGAGTGGATGAGCGTCCACCATTTGTGCAAAGTTGGAACTTGTGAGGTCGCAATGTCTATATGATGCCGTAGACGAGAGAGTGCAGAGAAAAACCGAGGACCGACCACCCATTGGGATTACGCCCAGTTGGCCGTGATCCAGTTTAGCGTCCAGTTCAAGTCAATTACAGCGATGCTCCCAATGGCAATCGGGTGGCGTAACGGCGATCCACCCCCCCCTCCCCGACCACCTTATGCTCCTCGTTGATGCTGAGCCTCTTGTTCCTTTGAACTGAGATTACAACAAATATTGTAATGAATAGCATTTATTGCCCAAATAAAAAAATAGACAAAATAAAATTAAAGCATAGAGAAGTCCTTCAAGAACATGAGATACTTCTAGATATTAAGGTTCAAATCTGCCCATGAGTTCTCAACATCCTCACACATACACAACAAAACACAACTCTTAGAACACAACATTCTATAGCCAATTTCTAGGATAATCTAGAAAATAGTCTAATAAATCTCTACGAAAAATACATGACATGATCTGTAGACCACCGGTAACATCCCGTGATATTATCTTTGGATGGAAGATTACATAAATCAAGCTCATAATAGACGCGTTTTCCCGTTCCTTTTGTTGAGGATCACTTGCACAACAAACGAAAGGATTGCACTTGAGAGGCACAGGAAACCAGACACGATGAAAACTGACGTGTAAGAACCGGTGCGATCACGTACGTAGCCTGCAATGAAAGATATCGAGTACTCACTTTTGAAAGGCAACTGGCACGATAAATCCCCAGGATGTGTAGGACTGGACAACTCGGCCCCTCACCAGGCGCTGCATGGCACCTTTTCCTAGCGAGGCACCCTCGTAGCTCCCTATCAAGCTGCAACATACCGACCCGGAAGCCCGCCCACAAATGTCCGACCGATGCTGATGCTCGTATCGCTTCATTTGCGAAGTACAATATGAAGCGAAGGGATTGATATGAAGCGGCGCGGCTGCATGGACATGTGAATACATTCATGCAGCTGCATCTACCGTCGCGATTACTGGCACGATGCCAACGGGATCTCGTTCCGAAATCGCCTTCTGAGTCGTGTAGAACGAGGACTTTTTTGCAGGATTTTGAACCGTATCACTTTGCTTGTTCGCCATTTTCTACTATTTTAAACCGAGTACCTATATATCGTACCTTATGCCTTTAACTCTTCAAAGACCTGGAATATTCAACTGACTAATCTGGCCGAAACAAGAACACCGACGAATAATTAGCATGATTCTCCCCCCCCCCTACCCCTCCCTTAATCGGCATAATCACTATTCTCAGATCGATTCAAAATTTCTGAGAACTGGATATAGCCGAGAACGGAACATTTTGCCAACTTACCCCCCCCCGCTTTACGCCTATTATTGCAGAATTAGTAAAAGATGATCCCGCCAGCGAGACCTCT